TAGCATGTTCTTGGGGACTCATCCTGTAAGCAAGCTTGTTAGGAATAACTGCTCCTAGAACAAAGTCAATGGTATGCTGTTTATCTCATATGGGTGGCAACCTTAGTAGTATTTCATCAGATATCACATCGATAAATTCAAATAATAAAGGCATGACTCTTGGCGGATTGGTAAAATCATCGTTCACCTTAACCATCATAATAAAACTCATCATTTGAGCTTTAGACTTCGTCACCTTGAGCTCCTCCTTGGTTATCAAAAACACTAATGGCTTATATTTCCTTAAAGATTGGCTAATCTCATTGGGTGATATAAGAGCTAATGTGAACTTGACACCATCATTGGTGAAAGAATATTTGTTTTCACGCCTGTTGCGTATAACATGTCGATCATATTACCATGGTCTCTCCAAAAGAAGGTGGCATGTATCCATAGAAACAACATCACACAAAACTTCATCACAATACCTATTCCCAATAGAAAATGTAATAACACATTGTTTAGAAATTTTTACCTCATTTCCCTTATTAAGCTAATGAAGCTCGTAAGGATGTGGATGGTCGTGCGTTGACAACTTCTATTTATCTAACATGTAGTTAGATAGTACATTTTCACAACTTTTATTATCGATGATGATATTACAAACTTTTCCTTGGGCTGTGCAACAAGTGCCAAAAATGTTGCGTCATAGGTAAGATTCTTCTTTAACTACAATTATATGCGGACTTCGTCTAATCACTAATGCTTCACCCTAATCTATAAGCTAACCTCTTCATCATATATTGGATTAGTTTCATAAGACTTAGTCTCCTCTTTATCTTCTTTAGGTGCTTCATACACTTGCCCTTCCCTAATAGTAAGAACCCTTCGGGCAGGACAATCTATAGCAATGTGACCAAATCCTTGGCATTTAAAGCATTTGTGTGCTTTAGAGCTAGATTCCTTGATAGCATTTGGTGGTGGCTTGTGCATAGTGCTAGATTGTGGCTTGCTTGAGTGGTTGGACTGCTAAAACTCTACCTTGCAGGCACCTAAATAACCCCTAGAGGAAGAGGGCTAGAAAGATGATCTCTTGGGCATCTGCTTCTCAATATAAATGGCTAGACCGATTAAATCATCTAAGGTCTAATATTGCTGAAGCTGGACTGGACGATCGATACTAGTGTTTAAGCCGCAAGATATAGTGCAAGATTAAGACTTAGGAAAAAATGAGACGCCATCTCACCAGAAAATTTCTACTAAACCATTACCACCAAGATAACTTTCTCCATCTATAAATTCTTTGATAGAGGTCCTTGTCTGTAGAAGAGTATACCAAAGAGTTTGAAAAACTCATGATGAAGTATGACATTGAGGAAAATGAGATTTAAGGCCAAAATGAAATTATAAAAAGTTATGGTTGACGAGGCAAGTTAACATGGTGAACGGGACACATGGTAGATTTTAGTTAGGCTAACCTGTCATTGACTAGTCAGAACAGGTGACATGGTGGGTGATGTGACTAATGACATCAGCATCTTCAACCTGCAGCAAGCGTGTGTTACGTGTGGGTTAGTGATGATAACCTTTAGAAGTTTGTCAATGGCGCATGACGGTGTGTGAAGTCATTTCCGATGATGGGTTGACTCCTGTTCCATATTTTTTGACCTTCTGAGCACAACGGTATGGTTAGAATTTCATGAAAATGGCTGGAAATGCAACTTTTGAAGGCGGTAGTGAACTCTTTCATCGATGTCATCTCAAGTTCACTTCCAGGGTTTTTCCTAACGATTCCTTATCTTTGGAACCTCACTCTGATACCAAAATGGCACAGAAACCAAATGGAAAGAGATATTTTGATCTTTATTCAAAACTGAGTGATGCTATAGCAAAAGCTAATAGTCCTATTTATACTGGTAGGACTTTGATCAGAATAGATGAGTAAAAGGAGGGTTACAAATGTTATGCTATCTTTTATTGGTTATAATTATCTTGGGGATGTTTTCAGTTTAATGTACATGACGTGAAAGGAGGTGAGACAGTTCATGATTCCTTTTCATCTTGCAGTAACTCATGCTTCCGTTTCATATACGTTTGATGGTGACAATTAAAAATTGCTGCTAAAAATTCATTTTTGGTGGTAATTGGACTATTAGCAGTGGCTTTTGATTGTCGCCACTAAAAGTACTTTTTTAGTTACCGTTAAAAGTTACATTTTTTTTTTGATAGTGAGTAAAGATCATGCCTACTATTATTGGTTTATATATATATATATATATATATGATAGATTAATATCAGATTTTGTTTTGTAAGAGTGAAAGAAAGAGATAGATATAACCCATCGAAGCCACAACAAAATTGAACGGTTCTCATTTTGTCGTGTAATGGAGTACTATAGTCCAAAACCTGAATGTTGAATACCACAAATTCTCTATCACGATTCGCAGCAACAACATATATCTTTGGCGAGTTTAATATCATTACCAAGAAGTACGATGTCGTTTTCCTCGCTAAGGTCCACACAACTAAATTCAAATATCAAATTGAAATGCCACAAAACACGTGAGATGTAAGGCTCATATCTATCCCCTTTAAAATATCAAATTATTTTAAATTGTTTAATGCTACCATTCAAAAATAAAATTGTAATTTAAAATTCAATATTTTTTTCTAAAAATATCAAATTAGTCACAAAAATATTTGTCAAAAAATTCATATCTTTTTTCATCATTATAATAATAGATTTTGTTAATTGAATATTTTGAATTTTAACATTTAATTCTACCTTTTTAAAAAATTAAGATTTTTTATTTATCATTGTATTTTATATTTGCAATATTTTTTTAAAAAATTGCAATTTTAAGTTTAAATTTTTTTTAAAATATCAAATTAGTCATGAAAATATATACAAAAAAATTCATGTCCATTTTTATCATCGTACATGTTAACTGATTTTTTAATGAAATCATCCAAATATTTCAGTATACCTAACTGATTGATCTGAAAATAAGATATCAAACATAAATCACATTATAGTCAAAGACTTCTCTTATAATTTCAGTTTGTTAACCTTAACTTTTTATTTTTTAATCCAATACACACTAAATTTGCGTCGACAGTGCAATAATGTAGTTGGTTGTCTCATTTCTGTCACTTATATCCTCCATTCTGGATCCGATTGTTTTAATGAGGATTCATTTAAAATTAGTTAAACTTATTAACTTTTAATTAAAGGAAGTTGTTTAGTTAATTAAGGAATATCAAAAGTTCAAAACAAACGATTCTATATTAAGGATTAGAAAGGTGAGTCTAATAAGAGTTAAATGTCATTTTTGCCCTCAAATTATCCTTGAGCTTTCCCTTAAATTTGAAAAAAACAGTGCAATTTATCTCTTTCCGTTAAGAGAGGGAAGCATTTGTTAAATGAGTGGAATGGGGCCAACAAATGTCCCGGAGTTCTGTTTGAAGTTGATTTGCATTATTTTTTTAAGTTTATGAGTAAGATTGTAGTAAAATAGAATACAGGATGTTTTGCTCCTGATACAAAGTTTGAAGGATAAAAAGGTAAATAATACTCCTTAGCTATCGTCATAAACCCAATAAATATTTCAGTGAACATACGGAACCCTGGTGGATCAGGAATTCAATTTTCTTTCTCGGACAACACTTCAATTATCTACTCCATTTCATTGTTTCAGAATGTGGGACATGCATTTTCTCTCTCATCATGGATTCCACTAGAATTATTTTAATTTTTTATATGTTAATAATATATATCTATATATATATATATATATAAAATATTTTCTTTATTTATTCAAAATTTTGAATTTTTAAGTTTTTAAAACTGTTATTATATCACGATAAATATTTTATTTTTTATTGTGTCGTATGCTCTTTTTTAAAGATATACGAGAAACACAGTTGGGCATTAAATAGAAAAATTGTAAAAGAAAATGTATAAAATAAATTTAATAGAAGTTTAAGAAGAAAAAAAATGAACTAGTTAATAAATTATATCAAAAGAAGTAAAAGGCATTTTTATCTTTTAGGAGCGTTTGATAACATAAATTTACAAGTCATGCAATTTTGCCTTTTGACACTTGAAAATGGTACACTGGGCACTCTGTTATTAAAAAAATAATTTTGATTATTAATTAACTAAAAAATTATAAAAAAACTTAAAAATTATAGAAAATAACTTATAAAATAATATTTTTATTAAGTTATTTATGCATAATTTAAGGATTTAATTGATATTAATTTTTATAGGATACTTGTGTATATATTTTAGGGATCATTTTTTGTAATTTTTGAGTTCTTTTTCTATAATTTTTAAGTCAACTAACTATTAAAGTTAATTTTTTTAATGAGAGTGCTCAATACTATTTTCAAATATTTAAAAAAATTGTATCACATGAAAGTTTAGAATATCATATATTATTGAGCAAATAGTTGAGAGGCAAAAATGCCTTTAAACCCTTATAAAAAATGAAAAACCAAGCCAAACCAAACATAGTTATGTCCATGACAAAATTTTTTACAAAATGAATTATAAATATTAATTTAAACAGTTGCAAATAAAATTTTTTGTTACAATTTAAAAGTTATATTTAATATTTAAATATTTATTTACAATCGAAACTCTTAGATTTGTAATAATTTAAATTGATATTTTTAATTTATTTTTTTAAAAAAATTATCAAAAACTTAACTGACATTAATTCAATATTTTAAAACTTAACTCTCATTCTCACTTGTTTAAAGTTGGTTTTGGTTGGCTGTTGTCAATTTGGTGTCATTAATTTGGATGGGTCTTGAAAAAAGTTATGCATGATACACGTTTCATGTACAATAAATCAAAATAAATCAAATATAATTTTAGATATCCTATAGATATCTTCACGCAAGGTCTATACCACATATTCTTTTTCCTGCTGACTTAACTGGCCACTTCGCCAATAGAATGTTATATATAATGCTTCCTAGGTCGCATCACAATCCCAAACCAAAGCAGCTACCTCTCCTGATCTCTTCGGAGTTTATAAATTCTTTGTGTGTTTCAACAAAGACATGACTCAATCATTTTCCCCATTAGACATAAAATTTACTGTGAGGAGGCGTGAACCTGAGCTGATACCTCCGGCAAAGCCTACCCCTCATGAAGTAAAGCGACTCTCTGATATTGATGACCAAGATGGTCTACGATTTCAAATTCCTATAATACACTTCTATTCTCAACAGCCTTCCATGGTAGGAAAGGACCCTGCTCAAGTTATCAAAATGGCACTCTCTCAAACCCTAGTATTTTACTATCCATTTGCAGGTCGACTTAGAGAAGGTCTTGATCGTAAACTTCTGGTTGATTGTAATGAAGAAGGAGTTTTATTCATTGAAGCTGATGCTGATGTTTCTCTTTCCCAATTTGGTGACACTCTTCAACCTCCATTCCCTTCCTTTGAAGAGCTTCTTCATAATGTTCCTGGTTCAGATGGAATTACTAAATCTCCCCTTTTACTCATACAGGTCTCCTCATTCATATATACTCTCTCTCATCCTTAATATAAGGCCAAGTTTGATAACTTTTTTAGTCATTAATATAAAACAAAGTTAGAGAAATTAATTTTTTTTTCCAATTTTATCCCTTGGTTATTTATTATCTTTTAAGTCCCTAAACAAAAATTTATTTAGGTTATTAATTACAAAATGATCAAATTAGAAAGTTACATATTCCCTCCGTCTCAAGTTATAAGATACTTTTGGGAGAAATTGGGCATCTCAAAGTATAAGATAATTTGAGAATATTAATGGTTCATTAAATAGACTTATTTCAATATTATCCTTTTTCTTTTTATTTAATTTCCGTCTCTTTCTCTTTTTAATATATTAAATAAAGGGTCTTTTTAAAAGTTTATATTTTTGTTTTTGAAAAAAATAAAATTGCTAACTATATTTAATAAGGTTTATTATTATGTGAAATATTGTCAAAAAGTGTCTTGTCATGAGAAATTAAGGGAGTATCCTTTTTTTTTTCAACAATTTTAATGATATAACTATCCTTCCTTGTTAATAATGGCAAAGTCTGTTAGCCTTGCACTTTGTCTCATATTAAAGATTAGAGGGAGGGTGTGTGTGTGTTCTCCTTATAAATGCTACAGTGTTCACTTCAAATTACTTCAACATGTTCTAATGTTGTGCTTTTCTTCCTTGTATCACAGGTTACACGTCTCAAGTGTGGTGGTTTTATTCTCGCTATTCGCGTAAATCACACGATGACTGATGGTCCTGGTATTATTCTATTCTTGAAGGCCTTAGCTGAGATTGCACGAGGTGCTTGTGAGCCTTCAATTCCTCCAGCTTGGTGTAGAGAGTTACTAAATGCAAGGGACCCACCTTGTATTACATGCACCCACAATGAATACGTTGAAGTGCTTGATAATGATGAAACAATAAGTGATGAAACCATGGTCCACCATTCTTTCTTCTTTGGACCCAGCAAGTTAAAAGCCATTCATCAATTGTTTCCACATCACCAAGGTCGTCACCACTCAACATTTGAGGTTCTCACAGCATTCATGTGGCGTTGCCGCACCATAGCGTTAGAGCTTGAACCAGATAAGGAGGTTCGGTTTATGTGCATTAACAATGTAAGAGGTAAGTCAAATCCTCCATTATTGCCACCTGGATATTATGGCAATGCCTTTGCGTTCCCAGCCGTCGTCACCACTGCCGGGAAGCTCTGTAGAAACTCATTTGGGTATGCACTAGAACTAGTCAAGAAATCTAAAGCTGTGACAACGACAGAGTATATACAATCTGTAGCAGATCTTATGGTGATTAGAGGACGACCTTGCTTTGCTACCTCAAGGTCTTGGATTGTTTCAGATTTAACACGTGCTGGGTTTAAGGACATAGATTTTGGTTGGGGTAAGGCAATATATGCTGGAACAGCAATGGCTGGTGGTGGAGACTTCTATGGTATAAGCTTCTTTGTTTCACATAAGAATGCAAAAGGAGAGGAAGGCATTGTAGTGCCAATTCTCTTGCCACGCAAAGCTATGATGATACTTATCAAAGAATTAGAGGACTTGTTAATTAGCAGACTGTAATTAAGGAGAAGACTATGCTATCTGCTTTACTTAGAATTAAGGGGGTGGGTTCTCTCCTGGTGAGTTCCCTCATGTCCCCTCCTGGCCTCATAATGTGGAGGCGGGTCCCTAGTTCTAGAATATAAGAAGAGTCGATCACTTTATATTTATGTACTTGCGTACGAATTGATTGTTGGAAGTGCTGTTCTTATATATATATATATATATATATTTATATGTATATAGTGCTGAAAAATCTATACTTATTTTGATGATTAATTTTAACGTCTACAATTGAGTGCTGACAATTTCTATTTTTGACCTTAAAGTTATTATCTCAGTTGAAATTAATCAACTTAAAAATCTCATCTTGTTTTAGTAGATCTTTAAGTTTATCTTAACTTATATATAATGGGCTTTGTGATCCTCTCTTTAATTTCTATCGTTCTTGCTTTTGGTGTGTATCTCAAAACTTGAAGTGTTCAACTAGCTTCATATGCGTAGTCCTAGTTGCTCAAATCTCAGGTTGAGTGAATAAAAGCTTTTTTAATGTCCTCTAGCTTGCTTAAAACTTAGGGTTGGGACATCCAAACTCCAATCCAAATTTGGCTTGATCGTCTTAATATGTATGTTATATATTTTTTAAAATTTAAAATTTATTATTAACTTAACATTATGTGTTTTTTTTTTGCCAAAAAAATTGAGTATTCACTATTTTAGAACAAGTTAACTGAATCCTAATTTTTTTTTCAAATAAATATACTTCGGGCGAAGAAAATTATATTGTTTAGAGAAGGGGAAGACTGAAACCCATGTGGGATTATTTTATTGATTCCTCAATTTAGCCAAGGTTAATCATCACTTAATCATCACTTAATTGACAGTGGGATAACGTATATAATGAGATTACTTGAGTTAAACCTAAGAACCTCTGCTTCAAGGAAATCAGGAAGTTCTCAGCTCTTTCTGCTAGCAATTCTCTCGTCTCCATCAGCCCTGAAATCTCTCAACATTTCATAGGCTGATTTTGCTGTTAAGCGGCTAGGATTAGGTGTGGGTCTCGAATGAGTCCTTCGATGGCACACCAATCTTGAGGCTTCCACTCTGTTAGCAATCTCTAGAGTCGCACATTCACAGAAGCGGTCGAGGCAATCAAGCAAAAACTTTTAAAAGAACAGACCTGAGCGTCAAACACCAGAAGGTCATCTAAAAAGAAAATGATGAAAGTAGGAACTGACCTGAGCGTCAAACACCAGAAGGTCAACAGATTGAACACACTTGAGAAAAGCAGTAAGGAAGATCTTCTGCTGAAGGCTTAAGATTGGAAGCAGCCATTTGTGGAGCGACAAAGCAAGAACAGACGAGGCTGAAGAAGGAGATGATGGAGATTCGATGGTCGACGGTTGCAGAATAAGGAAGAAAGGGGGAAGAGCTCGCGAAGTTGATTATGAAAAGGGGTGGAGCTCAAGAATGTTTTCGGATTGAACGAAAATGAGAATTGTCGCTTGGGAGGAAAGAGGGGATGATGGCGTTTTGTGGAGGCTTGGGGCTTTCGGATTCCGAAGGCACAGATGTGAGAAGGCAGTCGATTTTTACTTGTTATTTTTTTGGGAATGGCTAAATGAGAGTGCATTAATACTTGCACAGAGATTTCATGAAGAGACCGATATCACTTTCGTCCATTGTTATTAGAGTATAAGGGATGCTAGCTTTATACAAGAGATAATTGAAGGAACCAGAGGATAAAAGATTCATTTTTGGAGTAGATTTTTAAGAAAGAGAGGGTCTTGGTTTGAAGAAAGAAAAAGTTGTCTGCCGCGTGCTTCTTTTCCTGCCACACATAAGAGAGATCACATGGCCACATCATATTCAAAAGTACAAAAAATTTCTGTCATTATAACGTAGAATGAAAATGATACAAATGCCCCCAATTTCATTCGAATCAAAGTAACTAAAGGGGCGGAGCCTTGCATGCCATCTCTGAAAAATGCCCACATTACCCCCGGTTACTGTTCATAAGGATGTACTTTTGGAATAGGTTTTTATAATATATTGATGATGATGATGATTTTAAGCCTTTTTTATAATTTATTTCTTTATAATTTTTCCCAAAGCTTTTTCATCTATTATCCGCAGAAGCTCAAATTGTCAGCTTTTGAGAAAAATCAATTTTAATAAAAAAAATCTATTAAATGAAACTCTTGTGTTTGGGTATTTTTTTTGGTTAATTGATTTTTCAATAAAAAAATTAATTATTTTGCTTAACCAAACAGGCACTTGAAAGGGAGCACAAGCTAATTTAAATCGAGCTAAGGTGGAACCCTTTTGGGCGTAATTTCTACCACCAATGCTACTATATTTTTAAGGGTTTGAACTCGAGACCTATAATTAAAATGTATTTTTATGCTTTAGTTATGAATTTCTCAGCATCATAGTCTCTACCTTCATATATGGTCCATGCAACTCTCTCTGAAAATCACCGTCACATTGTCTTTGGTAATGGACTTCAAAACGCTATGCGGAATCCCCTAATCATGAATCAAATTTCTAAGCACCTCTTTATAAACAACATTGGTACGTAGCAGTAACATTTTCTCTCTGATAACATCCATAAAGCTCAACAGCACGATCACCATCTAGCACTAAGGTGACAACATCCTTCCTGATAAATCACAACCATGCATAGGTCAGTTACCTTCTATGAAAATAGCACGGCAAAAGTACAAGTGATGGATACAAGGATAAACAAAAGGAGTTACTGTGTGTCCTCGATGACAGCCCACATCTCACGTGTTCGGACACCATTAAGCTTCACCCAGTCAAGCTTCCCAATATTTATCAAATGTCCAGCAATGTCCGACAGAGAGAAAAGAAAAAGGAAAGAGAAAGAAGTTTGAAGATGAAGGGAAAACATGTATACAAACTTCATGCATGCTTTGAAGAATTTCACCCTTCACACGCCATTGAGGATATAAGTCCGCATATATCTCTTTAACAGTAGTCAAGTTCAGGTTATGGTCGGATATTCTTCAACATGAGTATCGGGAAGCAGTTCTATACGATAGCAGCCACGAATCGGTTCACTGCCAGGCATAACTCGCAATCCTCTTATCCGGTAAGTTTTTGAACCCTTGGATACATGCATGAAGCGGTCCATCAATTCTTTGCCCACTAAGGATAATATCATTCGAGACACCTGGAAATCAAACATGTCCGTCGGAGGAAGGAGAAGTGGAAGTCAGTATTAAAATGAAACAGAAACTGCAAGGGAGGACAAAAGAGAGCACGTAATGGGTAAATGAGAATTGTTTACTACTACATCAAAAACAGTGACATCCAAATCCAAATCCAAAGTCCTTAGAATTTTGGGATAACCCACAACTATGAAAATTGCGAAAACGGCTTTAAATAGACGCATAAGATTGGCAAACGAACCATTGTGGCGTTATCAACGAACACCAAGTGAATTAATATGAATCCCTTCTACCAGAAACGTCACCTGCTTCATCTCCTTGAATCACATAAATGCAAAACACATTAACTGAAATCAAATGCAGAGCATCGACCGCCAAAATGAAATGATAAGAATAGACAGATAGGTATATGCTACTGACTTGACTGAAGAGGCAGGCGAATTCGTTTTATTGAACAACTTTTATTAGAAGTGTTCAGGGGATGCTTTTAGGAGAACCAGAGAGACAATTAGGTACCAGTTTAATTGAACCACTACTAATTTAGATTTATAGTTTTTCAATGTGCTTTTAAGGCTTTTAAGGCTTTTTCAATGTGCTTCATATCTAATTTTTATGATCTAGATTTATAGTTTTAAAATGTATGTTTTTAAAATAATTTTTTTTGAAAAAATTGACAGCTAAAAAATTGTTTTTATTTTTGATTATGTATCCATTAAAATATTTTTTTAAAAATAATATATCAGCAAAAAGTTATAAATTTAGATCATTTAAATTAGATCTATAGAACTAATGAACGTTTTCTTTTTCTTTTTCCCTTTGAATAAGTGCAGGAAACTTCATTCAAAGAAAGGAAACCAAGATACAAACTTCACCTAAAAAAAACAAGGAAAGAAAAAAAAAAAAAAAACAGAAACTAACCTACAAATCACCCAAGAGGAACTGCCTATTTGGCCGCAAATCAAAAAAGTTTAACTCATTTGAAATTGACTGACATGACTTTGGAAGGTAGTCAGCGATCTTGTTGTCCTCCCTATTCATAAAATTAAAATTTATAATCCAATTTTTACACAAAAGTTTTCTAATAAAACTAATGAACTTCTTCTAGTGGTCAACTGGTTGCTCAGTTTAATGCAAGAATGCCTAAAGCAGCAAAATAAAGTTTCCTGTAAAAGTCAAGCCATTTGCTTTTAGGAACAATAATGGCTGGACAGGGGAATTTTTTTTTTTTTTTTTTTTGAAGCATCGCGGAATCGTGACCTTTTCGGTGAAAAAATGGTGTAGCGGGAAGAAGGGGTGGGGGAAGACAGACAAGTGGGCTTATTGGACTCTCTGAATCCGGCTTATTTAATATTGGATGTGCAAACATATATATTTGAAATAATAATGATAAAATTGATACAATAATAATATTCACCATGTGCCATGTCAATTCAGATGAAGACGAAATAAGGAAAAAAACAAATGAGTTACTGTAGCTACGAAAAAAGAAAACAGTTGTTAAAGAGATATTAATTGATTTACGGATTATCCCCGGGGGGGGGGTGAGAGAGTTTTGTACAGGTATCATGTCAATTCAGATGAAGACAAAATAAAGAAAAAACAAATGAATTACTGTAGCTAAGGATGAAAAAAAGGAAACTGTTACAAAAGATATGTTAATTGATTTACAAACCATCAATGTGAAACGAGGGACGGAGGGAGGGATAATAAATTAAAATTGTTTTATTCAATAATCAAGCCTAATCTAAATATAATTGAGAATGTCAAAATTATTTATAAAATCCAAGAAATTTTAGAATAATAAAAAAATTAATTTCAAATTCCAATCCAAATAAAATTAAAAGAAGACAATAAAATACTTTTTTCGTTTAAAAATATAATACATTTTTAACTGAATCTCACTCTTCAATAAAGTAGTTATTTACTTTCAAACTAACCTTATTTTTTTATATTTGTCTCTATTAAATACCTTACAATAAATATAAATTCATTAATTAATATGGGTACTTTTAAAAGAAAGATAGTGATTACACATCAAAAGATTAAAAATGTCTTATATTTTTTAACATCCAACTCTTTAAAAAATATTTTATATTTTTGAATGGAGAAAATATAATATTAGATTTATTTCTTGTTGAAATATTAGAATGGATTAGTGTTAATCACATTAATTAATTAGTTGGTCAGCCTAAGTTTTATATAAAAAGGTGTCACAAAGAGTCAAGGATGAACCTAGAATTCATTGTCTGGGGGCCCATGACTGAAATTTATCTACAAGTGAGGGCTAAAATTAAATTTTAGCATTTTTCACAAACAAAATTTCACCTACTTATAAAAAAAAAAAAACTTTGTAGCATGGGAGCCACAACCCCTGTTGCCCCCTTAAATTCATCACAGCAAAGAGTTGTAGGCAAAGAAATTTGATCTTATACAGCACCAATTATTGATGGGCAAATATTTTTTATTCATACATATGTATGTGTGTGTGTATATTTGCATTATTTAATACCTATTTAAATTTTTATATAATGCAGTTATCATTAGTCACTTTGTATTCTTTGCCCGAATCAAAATGAAGTATACTGGTTTTGTTTTTTAGAAAAAAAAACCAAATGAAGAGCTCATATGTATTTTCAATAAGTAAGTTTTAGTTTAGATAAAACTTTAATTCATAAGATATTTATGCTTTTGTAATGTGTTTTCATTTACAAATGATAATAGTGTACTTAAGACATATTATATGCTCACTCTTGGGGAACGCAAGCTAAAATCATCGGTGGAATAGATTCACCCAAATGTAAGTATATATGAACTTTTAAATTTCATATTTAATTATCCCTCATATTTAATTTTTAAATATTCATTTATTTCAGTGTTGTAGGTAGCCAGGAAGCATAGAATGTTGATATTATATTATCCGTTATATGTATGAGATGGTTCAAATTGGAACTACAGAAAGATTGCAAGAGGTATTTTTTTGTTTTAGTTTAAATTCTTGTATTTAATTCCATAAAGTATATTATTCTAATAAATTTTCTTATTTAGATTTTTGAAAATATGGAGCCCTATAATGGAGAAGAAATTGATGGCATTCGAGATGTATTGGTTCAACAACTTCTTCAAGAATACTTTTCAAAGTGAAGAGAGGTTGAATAAAATTGTATAATATTTTAATAGCTGAACAATTATATATATATATAGATTAACATATTAGTTTTATGGAGAACATATTATTTTAATAATATATAGTATAGTTGAATATTCATTGTGAATTTGCTGACTGGCTGTTTGTATTGCTGTGTAAACTATAAAATTTGCAAGTTTAAAATTTGGATGTCAAAAAAACAAAATAATTTTTTTAAAAAAAAGACTTTTAACAACAGTTGTATAAAAAATTGATGTTAAAAAACTTTTAATATCAATTTTCATTAATTAACTAACGTGGAAAGTAAACTTTTCATGACTCTCTTTTTAACTATCCTTTCATAACCGATATAAAAAGTTTAAAATA